GAAAAATACTGTCTCCACACATTTTGAATGTCGACCTGGTTGTGCACTCTACAGACTTCTTACTTCATCTTGTGTTTCCACCTAATTCCTGCTCAACTGACTTTGCCTTTACATCCATTATAATTTTTCTTATAAGACATGCATTTTTTTATGGTACCTTATTCAGCATTAGATAACTGTTCTGATGTTTCAGAATTTTTTTTTGCATATCATACAGAGACCACATTACAAACGAAGAGGTTTGCCATAAAATTATATAGCACATTGGGAACTATGAACCTCTTTTAACTACAGTGAAAAGACGAGAAATGCAATGGTATGTACATGTAATAAAATCTAATGGCCTCTCAAAAAGAATACTGCAGGGCTCAGTAGAAGGAAAGGGGAGAAGAGGCAGACCAAGAAAGATTACAGATTCTGGTTACAGAACCTGACTGACTGGACAGTCCTAAGGCATGCAACCATGAAGTCCATCGCAACTGACCACCAAATGTGGAGAGAGCTTATCAGACAGTCAACGGAAACTGGTGACCCAGCGACACATAGTGTTACAGGATGATGATGATGATCATTAGATTGAAACACAAATAATTAAAAAAGAAACTGTCAACCAAGCATTACAGCACTAAGACTTATTTTATAAAAATATAACAGTTTAAATACACATGTATTATTTTTTGTGCCATAAAAGCAATGTTTATTTTGTTTAAAAAAAAAGGACGACCATACATAGGCACTTTATTAAAGCATTCACTTAAGAACTATATAAATTTAAATATAAATGTGGGTAGTTGGGTTACCTGCTGATATTATAAACAATCGTTGTGGTGCACCGTATAACAGATTAACAAAAATACAGCTTCTACATACACAACAATGTGTGACTGAAGTAACATATGTGAAGCTATTAAGTGAAAACCGTACTAAAACAAATATCTAAAATATACGTGAAAAAAAATGTTTTGATTCTAAATATAAAATATGACTGGGAAGGTTGACAAGATGAAGACATAGTTTCCTAGGTCAAATATCACAAGTAATCTAAATGTCTACATAAAGTCATTTGAAAAAAAAAAATGAAAATGAAAACAGAAGAGCACTAAGGATTGACTTGTCAAACTAGACATGTTAGATATGCAAGACATGCTGTGAAGAATGGAGGTATCGTTATCTTATGTCTCATATTCCGTGTTGTTAGTCCATCACGAGTGATGAAGACCAATTTTCATCCAAAGTAGTAATGATCAATGATCGTCTGATTAGTCCAGAATGAGCCTGGAAAGTTCTTGTCTAGTGAGAACAATAGGTGGAAGCCGTAGTCATGTCTGATATTCTAACAACCACTGAGAGATGGTAAAGTACTGGTTCTTTTCCATCCTAAGTGGTGTACTGTGTTGATAGCAGTGAAAGTATAAGACACTTTTCTATGTCTACAGACGTACTAGGCATATAGGGCTAGACCTATATTTTATAGACCAGTCAGCACTTGGTGCGTAATGTGGTCAGCATCACACCACTGCCTTTACTTCCCAGGACTTGTACCTGATATCCACTCAAGGCAAGGTCAACCTGGAAGCCAAGGTTTAAAAAAAAAAAATCCGTCTCCTTTAGAACATGACCCCACGACCTTCTGATTCGCAGACGGACATCTAGCCACTACAGATGGTAGAGTACAAATAACAAATTTTTTTCCATGCATGGAGCTGCATATTTGTATTGACCAACTGGCACTCAATGTGTAATGTAGTGAGTGCCTTTGCTTTCCAGAACATTCTGTATATCCATCTTAAGTTGGATCAACTTGACAGTATAGGTCAATTTGAACCATATGTTTTGATAGAATGTTTAACTTATGACCACCATTTTTCTATTGTCCACCCCCCCCCCCCCCCCCCCCCCCCCCCCCCCGCCCCCCCCCCCCCCCCCCCCCCCCAAAAAAAAACACCAACATCAGTTTACTCAACTTTTTCTGTCTCAAGAAACGCACATGGTATGATATAATTTATTTCATGTTTGGCCTGGGTATTCTAAATGTAGCATGGTATATGATGTAGCTTTGAGAGTCATACATGGATGCCCTTTTCATTGTGATTATTGTGCCAAACCTGGTTTCTGCTTTGAAACCATTTGGGGCTGAAAGAGGTAACAATTTCAGAGGAGCAGTCACAGCATAGTGGCTGGATGCTCAGCTACAAATCTGAAGGTGTAGAGTTCAAACCCACATCAAGACATTTTTGTTTTTTTCAAAACAGGCCACCCAGCCTAAAACTGACACCACTATAATGCCTGGGAAGCAGAAATGAATGAACAACCAACTTTCCACAGGAGTGTACAGCCAGTGAATGCAAAGAAGATGAAGAAATACTGATCAATATGAACCTAGTACAAATAGCAATTAAACATACATTGCTAAGTAGATCTTGCTAAGACTGAAAAAATAAATCTTTGTTAACATTAAACTGTCATTATGTTTATGAAATATCTGATATGTTGTTTTGTGTGAAATTCTGGTTTCAAATAAGATAAAGCTTTTCAAATGCTGCCACAGGTCTATACGGACAACTATTTCGGAAGTAAACAATGTCACAAGTATTAATCACATTTTAAAACTGTGAGAAACTTTCAAAGCATGTGATCACAAATCCGTATAAAATTCCACTGTATAGATATGCATCACAACAAACAACTGTTTACATTTCATGTATATACACATAGAAAGTTGGAGAAGTAAAAAATAACTTCACAACTATAGGTAATTCCGCTGAAACCTGCACCAGAACAATTCCACCGAAACCTGTACCTGAATAATTCCACCGAAACCTGCACCTGAACAATTCCTCTGAAACCTGCACCTGAATAATTCCACCGAAACCTGCACCTGATCAATTCCACTGAAACATGCACCTTAACAATTCCACTGAAACCTGTACCAGAATAATTCTACAGAAACCTGTACCTGAATAATTCCACTGAAACCGGCACCGGAATAATTCTACCGAAACCTGCGCCGGAATAATTCTACCGAAACCTGCACCTGAACAATTCCACTGAAACCTGCACCTGAATAATTCCACCGAAACTCGCACCTGAACAATTCCACTGAAACCTGCACCTGAATAATTCCACCGAAACTCGCACTTGAACAATTCCACTGAAACCTGTACCTGAACAACCTGGACCTGAACAATTTCACTACAACCTGCACCAGAACAATTCCACTGAAACTCGCACCTGAACAATTCCACTGAAACCGGCACCTGAACAATTCCACTGAAACATGCACCTGAATAATTCAACTGAAACTTCTGCACACTCAACACTCAGGTTCTGAAACCGGACTGCAGTCCAGAAGTGGACAAACAGCGAGAACTTTCCACCGGAGTTTACAGCCGGTGAATGCCAAGAAGAAGATCCATCTTAAGAAGGAAACCTAGTTTTTTTCGGGTCTATAATTCCATAATATCATTTGTATTCTCAAAAACCACATCTCACCTGTAAGTTGGTGTTTTTTCCAGCACACCTGCATTATTAAATTACTTTAGGGACTGTCATATAAGGTTCCTAAAACAAAGGCAAAAGACTGACTGGAGACAATCAGTCTCAAGACCCCCCCCCCCCCCAGAAAAAAAAAACGAAAATTAAAACTTTACTCTTTAAGATCCATTTTTCGCTCTTCCAGAACCCCTTTAACAGACAACAGTCTAATGCTTAGAGTTACAACGTCTGCCACCAAGACACACTGAGCATATCATGGTGCTGATGTTAGAAGTGTATCAGATGTCTCACCTTCTGCCACCAATACAAACAGGGCATAAAATGGTGGTGTTATTAAAATCGTATTGACTGTCTCATAGAGTGAAACACTATGGGAACTACCACATGTACACAAAATTCAAGATAGGTGTATCAGCCATGTGCACCTGTGGAAATGTGCCCCAGACAGCAGAGCATGTACTCCAGGACTGCACCGATTTTGACACATTAAGGCAAACCTTTTGGTCAGAAAGAACAACAGTGGAACGTAAACTCTATGGACCACTGAATGAACTAACAACGACAGTGAAATTTATACAAGAGACAAAACTGCTGATATAGACAACTTATTTCAGGCAAACGAAAGAAGAAGAAGAACTATGGGAACTCCTGTGGACATATTAAATTTTCAGATTCCTTCTCAAGTGGAAATAGCAGGTTGAATATACTGCTGCCTAGGCATCATTTCAAAATGAGGTCGATGATTCTAGTAAACAACAAATCAAATGGTTTGCCCACTTGGAGAGAATGCCTTCTGATAATTTACCATACAAGACATATACCAAACAATAATAAGGAGTGTAGAGCAAGAGGTAGACCAAGAATAAAATGGGAAGATAACATCAGAAAAACTCTACAGCACCACAATGCGTCTATGGCTGAAGCAGCCAGAAGAGCACAAAGTTGGACGTTATATCTCCCTCGCCACCCGAAGCAGTAAAAGAGGACGTAAAAAAGAAGATTATTCTAGTTTTCTTCTTCTTTGCGTTCACCGGCAGCATTTTTTCCCCTCTAAATCTAGGCTTTAGTCTTGTTGCAGAACCTTCTTGTTGCAGAACCTGAGTTTTATGGGCACATCCAATTTACAGATCCGGCTTATTTTCTATACAGACTGCTGGTTCCTCGCCTCTAAGGCAAATGCACTCTAAATCTGAAGGCAAAATTATTCTGGTATATATTTTGATCCTTGCTGGTGTTATTAAGCTTGTGCACTGTGTGATCTATCACAGAAGATGGACATTCAAGTGTTTGCAATGAAAGTGATCCTTCACAAAATCAACATGCATTACGTCTTGAGACACAGTCACAAGGATGACCAGAAGATAAAAAGTGATGCCAAATGCTGAGACACAAAGTCCATGTAAAGAAAAGAAGTAAAATGTACAATGTAGACAATAAGAAAGTATTCAACTGAAACATGCAAATTAAAATGTATTCATTTCTTGAATATAATTAAAACAGAACATTTATTCTTTGGCCTCATCCAACTCCACTGTAAATGGTTCAGCTACTTCTGAGACTCCACAGTTGACTATGACTACATCCTCTATAGGTTTATCTCGACTGTCAGTTGGTGTGTTCTCAATTCTTCTCACAACATCCTAGAAACAATAAAACACTGCACAAATTATTAACTAATTAAAAAAACAAACTTGCAAGAGAATGATTACAGGAAAGCAGACTGAAGTCAGAGGAAAAGGTTCAGATAAAATAACAAACAGGATATCTCTGAATGCAGTGATTGAGGTGATCATAACATGCACAATATGTTGGATTTTTAGGCTCACACCTGATGTCTCTTCAAAAACATGATGCTAAAAAAGCAGAAAAGGACTAGAGAAGAAAAAGAGGATGAAGATATTAAATTATTACTTCTTGCACTGTTCCTCCTCTGGACTGTAACCTGAAGGTTTGGACCCCCCCCCCCCCCCCCCCCCCCCCAACAGGGCAAGCCAACATGGCAAATCTCAGATACCCTGTTTGACCTCCAAAAAAAGTTCTGAATGAGGCTTCCTTAATGACAACATCAGATTTTAGTCTTCTCCTCCTTTTTATTTGTCCCAGCATGTTATGTAATTGTATTGTGCCTGCTTACAGCAAAGCTGTGTTATCTGACCTTTCGGCCGACACATCCAACTTCATAGAGCATTTGTTGACCGGATTAATTTCCTGGCCAGTGTGGTGTAACAGGATAAGTACAGATTATTAATCTGTTCAACATAATCTGCTGACTGCTGCAGGTAGGCTCAAGGTGGTCAAAGTCATATCTAAGAGTAGCTGCAGACACAGATATAACCCTTTGCATGAAGTTATGGACGCAGTTAAGGGTCAGTGGCTGATAAGAGGGAAGTCATGGAGGGCTCAGGCAAAAGATACAATCAGAAAGGCTTGCATCCTGGAGAACATTAGGCCAGGAGAGGAGAGAAGTGGCTCAGAATGCCAGCGGGACAGTCAGATTTGTGCAGAGTCAGATATCTTTTCTCAGGGTCTTGCTGGTGTATTGGAAAATAAACAGACGGACAGACTGGCTGGCTCTGCACAACTTGGTGAAATACTGATGCATGATATGGCAGACATGGTTAGGGCCTTGTGGGAGAAGGTTTACAATTCAGAGGAGCAAATGGATCACCACAGTCTAGTGAGATTGATGCAGGGAAAAAAACACGAGGTGATCTGGCCAATACTCGACACTCAGAGGAAAGGCAATGCGGACGTACAATCAGAATGCTAATGGCACCATTGGTATTGGAACTCTGCCTTGGCTGCTGAATATAGGGATGGAGCGGTTACGGGAATGCCTAAGTGCTGTGATGTTGGTTCTTAAATCAACTCAACTCAATTCAGAATTATTAACCACCCATAACATATTCAAAATGTAGTGGCATAATGGTTAGTGTACATGTCTTCCAAAGCAACAGTCTGGGCCCAAATCCAAATTAGATGCAGAATTGTTTTTTCAGAATAGTGTGGCTTTGATGCTGACCTTACCTTTTGAAAATTAACACCAATCTACACATTTTTCTGGGAAGAAAAGAAACTGCCCCATGCAATCCTAATCATTATGGCTGTAATTTACCCACCATGCTATGGGAATATTATGTGGAGTGGAGAGGCCCTAATCTTTTCCGCTGTGCAACTCTTGCACGACTGTATGAAAGCCACAACCCCTATGTGGGTATCGGTGCTCCATTTTTGGGTCAAAAATGAACTGACGCACTGCCCCACTCACAAGCATGTCGTAGGAGGTGACTAATCAGAGTTGTTTCTTCAAAATTGGAAAGCATCTGCCTGACAGGCATGTAACCAACAGTCTGCACACAAACAAGCCAGATCTTTAAAATGGATGTGCATGTACAAATCAAGTTCTGGACCAAAACCAATGTCCAAGAGTGGACAAACAACCAAATCTTTCTGCCAGAGTTTACAGCTGGTGAATGCTAAAAGAAGAACTTCATAACCAAACAAATGGAACCAAATACTCTCCACTCTCCGAAAGTGTACAGAAAAACCCAGCTTACCATGCCCTTGATAACTTTTCCGTACACAACATGACGACCGTCCAGCCACTCTGTTTTAATAGTGGTTATAAAGAACTGAGAACCATTTGAGTCCTTGCCAGCATTTGCCATTGATACCCAGCCAGCTCCATAATGATTTAGGTCAAAATTTTCATCCTCAAATCTGTTTCCATAGATACTTTTACCTGTTAATAAAAAAAATATCTACAAATTAAATAATAATAAACACAATCAACGCTTCTTCTGACAGTACATAATGGTATGCAGCACTGGAACCTTTTTTAGGCATCCTTTTTCCCCCCCAGCACTATTCAGAGACTTTGTGGTGTAAACTGGCACCCTTCATTAGACATCTTGTGGTCAGTAATGGATATTTTTTTCCTAAAAAATAATTTATAGGACCCCCCCGATAAAAAAGAGAAATTGAATATAATATTTAAACTATTGAACCATATTACATACCACTGTGTACATGAGATAGTGCAGCAGATAGAACTATTGCCAGCTGGATCATGATCATGTGTTCAAATCTAAGCTAAGGTAGATTTTTAAAACTTATCTGGGTCCCAGCCTTGACAATTAGCACCAAAGAAACATTTTCTTTATCTCTATACAACATTAAAAGTGCAGTTGGCACACCATGTTGTGGTTTACAGCTAGGCTGTAAAATATGCACCTTTCAGCCCAACACACATGATTTCAGCTGACATGCTTCTAAATGGGCAGTAAGTCTATTTCCCCCCCCCCCCCCCCCATTAATGGGACCACATGGGAAGAAATGTTATCTGACATAAAGGCAGTAAGTGTGATGACTGGTCAATACAATTTATGGGGCGTCATTAACATAAAATGCTTCAAGGTTTGAAATATGTCCTATGCTTGCTTACTATATAAATTACACAAAAACATTGCCATACACCATGACAGTTGCATATATTCAAGTATATATGTATAAGCAAAAGAACTGTGGAGACTTCCAAAATATATTGTATGGAAGTAAGGATTAGCCAACATGAATCATTATTTAAAAAAACCATTACAATTAAACAAAACTGTAATTCATTGCTGATATGAGGGAAAGATAACACTTACAGAAAATACCCAAAGAAATTGTGTCAACACATGTGGTCCAATGTAAATATTAAAAATTTTTTTTTTTTTAACCAAAGAAATCAGTGGTGGTGTTTTAAAGCAAAAATATTTGTATAAAGTAAGCTTCTATTTAAAACATATCACACAATGTATGAAAAAGAGAAAAATAATCTCAAACAGTTTACTGGATACTTGACACACACACACACACAAATATCTTCACAAAATGTATCTACAATTTTATATCACAAATAATACGATTCCTGTGAATTATATAATAGTAATTACTTAGTTTATGAATATTTAACAACTGAATAACATGTATTCAGATAAAGGTTTACACTTTTGAAAATGCAAGCCAATGATAAGGTGCCCAAAATTATTATAATTTGTTTTATAAAATTGAAAAAAAAGCTAGGAATAAATATTCTTCTTCTTCTTCGCGTTCACCAGCTGTACACTCTGGAAAGTTCTGGTTGATCGTCCACTACTGAACTGCAGTCCCATTCCAGAACCTGAGTGTTGCGTGTGCATCAGTTTTACAGATCTCATTCTCTTGAATACAGACTGTTGGTTCCTTGCTTCTCCGGCAGATGCACTCCGACTTCAAAGGAAGCTCCCCAATTAGTCGACTCTTACGACATGCTTTTGGGGGAGGCAGTGGGTCTATTCTTGTTTTCCCCACAATGGGGCCCCGGGACCCACACGGGGGCGAATAAACATTCAGAACAGATACATAATGTTTGGCTCACCTCCTGTACCATCTCCTACTGTAAAATCTCCTCCTTGAATCATAAAGCGATTGATTACTCTGTGAAATTTGCTGCCCTTTAATGTTAAAACTGTGTCTCCATCCTGGAAAGAAAAAAGAAACTTACAGAAATGTAAATTCTGATAGCATACTTCAAAATGGAAATCAATAATTGTCAAATATGTCTTTAATAACATGATAAAATATATACTTCACATAGCTTATCCCAACAGCAGCATTATAAATCCATGTTTTTTAATTATCCCCCCCCCCCCCCCCCCAAGAAAAAAAAAAATGGATACAGTAGCGCGTTTCAACTAAATAACTCACATGTATTAAAATAATATTTGGTGCTTTATTAATATCCTACCCCCAAATGACGTTACATGACAGTCCAACATTTTAGAGGGTGGTAAGACTGGGTTTCCTGGCTTTCTGCTGCTTTTAATGACCCCAAAACATCTAGAACTGGCCCTAACGCCAACCCATCTACATCCCACGAGAGAGTGCAGCCTACGTGCCACGACTGCATGCAGCCTATCTACCACCCCCTGAAATATTATAGTGTCCCGTGACCTGTGGATTTCCCCTGTTTGGGGTAAGATATTAATAAAGCACCTAATATTTTGTTAATACTTATTAGATAAGATCAACAAGGGAAGTTTAAACACAGATACAAGCGCTACATGCATGGATGCACATACATAGATGGAGCATGGGTGGCGGGGAGGGGGAGAGAAGGGCGATTACTGCCAAAAGTAATGAAACAAATGTTTCCTTTCTGAATTTTTTTGTTTTGGTGTTATTGAAAGCTTGATGAGGGTGACAAAAATTTTTTAGAAACAGAATTAACAATTGTTTTATTGCATCGTGTCTAAATATCTAGAGTGAGTTTACAGTAGTAATATGTATTCTACAAAACTATGCTTTAAGCACCACCGAAGAAAACACAATCACAATAAAAATGAGATTAACTAAAGGTAAATTTAACATTAAAAAACAACCAAAATATAGTAATGACTGATAATTCCTATATAATGTTAGTAGACAAACTGCTACTCAAATGGGAAGCAAAATCTTACTAAACTGACCACTGCACACAGTGGCTGAGCAGTTTAGAATGCACATTCAGTGGTGCTTGTAGCAAAGTTTTGCAGAATACATATTACATTTGTAAATTTACTCAAGTTATTTAGACAAGATGAAATAAAATAACTGTTTGCACTGTTTCTGAAAATTGTCTGTAAATGATAGGCAGCTACTTTAACACTAAAAGATAACTGTACAAATATTCTACAATTAACTCTTTCAGTCTCAATGAACGCATCACATGTTCATAGGTTCCTACCTAGAAGCCCAGTGAATGCTTGATGCGCTAATTTTGTTTCTTTTTACTACCCTCTGGGACTTTGATGTTAAACCCCGTGGGACAGAACTACTTAACAATCAAGTGTGATAACATATCTGATGCATTTCAGAAATTAGTATTTTAGTATTTAATATCAACATATTTACACCTTGTGTCCAACAGTTAAGGCCTTGAAATTGTTGACAGTCTTTGGAACAACATTGCCAAATAATCCAATCTCTATTCTGCCTGCTGGTGTCCCTCCAATCTCTATGTCAAAATAAACCTGAAAAAACAGAATGACAAAATGAAAATATTAAATAGCTACTGTAGACAGATAATGTAACAAAACCGATCTATATATGTATTGTATGTGGGTTGCTGAACCACACATGGTGATTCACCGGTTCATGTAGGTCAAGAATTATCTACACCTCTCCCAGCCATCCTAGAAACAGATTCCCAACCGGAAGCCTAGCTAATGTATATAGTATCACCATTTCCTTCAGTGCTGAAGTGTATTTGCCTAAGAGGCAAGAAACAAACAGTCTGTATACACAAATAACTGATATGCAAAATGGAATTCCAAATGCAACACTCAATTCCTGGAACAAGATCAAAGTCCAGATGTGGACAAACAACCAAGACTTTCTGCAGAAGCTTGTGCAGCCTCTGATGAGGCAATAAGACCTCCTATGGATAAGTCTAGAGTGTTGTGATTATAATACTTAATAAAAGAAATATAAAGAGGGTAGTCTTCAGGGCATTTTTTCTGGTTGGAAGCACCGCCGGAAAAATATTTTCTCCAACACTTATCGGAAACCAATCTTTGTGAAACTCCACATATTTGTATAAAAATGAACACAGAATGCAAAAAGTCTTTCCCAAATTATAGTAATCTTGCTAATTTAAGAGATCCTGACAAAATGTTACACACTATTCTTCACCAAATTATGAACAGCCAACTAACAGTTGAGTGTACCAAATATTGAAAAAGGGTGTCAATTTTCGGATTTTTTTCATGGTCATGTGCACAGGACCAGATGTAGAAATTTAATGGCTGCCTAGCATCCATGGTGCGTGATTTGATAACACAGGTTATGAAGAGATAATAGAAAAACTTTAACTAGGAGTAATGAATGAAAATAGAGAATTATTCACAAAATTTTGTGCAGGAAACCAGTATGTTATCAGTGGAAGAATTTTCCCACATAAAAGAATACATAAGGCAACCACATCATTAAACCAGCAATCAAATTAACCACATATGTATAAACAAAACAAATTTAGATTATCTCTTTATGATGTTAGGGTTTTTAGAGGCGTCGATGCATTTACTGACCATTTTCTGTTAGTAAGTAAAATTCAGTTAAAACTTTAATAATATATATCATCAAATAATCATAGAAACTAGTATAATGTAGGTTATCTCATGGTTAAAGAAGTTAAAGAACAATTTGTAGTCACAGTCTCTAATAAGTACCAGATCTTGAAGCAGTTAGGTGAAGAAGTAAGCACTGAAGTCTGCAGGGATCACTCAGATCAAGGTATTCTGGAATGAATCTTTTGTAAAATTCCTCAGTAAGAAAGAACGGAAACATAAAGCGTGGATAACACCAGAAACGGCTATCCTCCGAATAACGACCACATATAATAGTGGCCAAAAACAGGGCCTCAGTCACATGTAAACTGCGGACTTCCGGCGACTTAAACTGCTGACTTCCGGTCACTACTGCCACCGCCGAGAGTATCTTCCATGCCGCTACACGCGAAGCGGGGCTAAACTGGATGGCTGGGACTCACGAGCAAAGCTGCAGGAAATACAGAAGCTGCTGCTAGTGAGTCCCAGCCATCTAGTTTAGCCCCGCTGCACGCCGCGCGTAGGGGCGTGGAAGATACTCTCGGCGGTGGTGGTAGTCACCGGAAGTCGGCAATTTATTTGTGACTGAAGCCTTGTCAGGGGGTGTTTTTGGCCGCCATAATATTTGGCCGTTATTCGGAGGATAGCCCCAGAAATAATTAAAATGATGTAAGAACGAAAAAGCACAAAGGCAGACTGGCTATCCTCTGAATAATGGCCATATATTATGACGGCCATAAACAGGACCTCAGTCACATGTAAACTGCGGACTTTCGGCGACTTGAATTGTGCACTTCTGGCGACTACCACCACCGCCGAGAGTATCTCCCATGCCGCTATGTACGTCGTGGATTGGGGCTAAACTAGACGGCTGGGACTCACGAGCAGCAGCTACCACATCTCCTGCAGCCTTCCTCGTGAGTCCCGGTCATCTTGCGGCGTGGGAGATACTCTCGGCGGTGGTGGTATAGTCACCGGAAGTCTGCAATTTACATGTGACTGAGGCCCTGTTTTTGGCCGTCATAATATGTAGCCGTTATTCGGAGGATAGCTGGCAGACTTAAACAAAAGCAAAACTACAGCTTGCATTGAGATGCCTGGGGGCCTATGCTCCATTGGTGGTTAGAAAGGCAGAAGAAGAAGCGGTTCTCCATAAAACTACTGCCACTTATTATGGAGTTCAGTCCCCTGGTCGCATTGCAATTACGGAGTGGAAAAGAGGGAACGAAACAAATGACGTAATTACTGTGTGTTGGCGATAGACGCACTGCTGTTATAATAAGGTTAGGGTTTGGGTTGGGAGTAGGGTTAGGAGTGGCCGTAGTTTTAAGGAGCACCAATACCCTAACCTTAACCCAAACCCTATTATGACAGCAGTGCATCTATCGCCAACACACAGTAATAAGGTCACCGGTTCAAGCTATCACCAACACACAGTAATTACATCATTTGTGACGTTCCCTCTTTTCCACTCCGTAATTGCAATGCGGCCAGGGGACTGAACTCCGGCGTACTCCATAATAAGTGGCCGTAGTTTTAAGGAGAACCGAAAAAGCGTCCATGACAATATCATCCCTACTTCTAGCCGCTGGCTGTACCAGTATAACTGTTATATGGTTAAGAAAAGTTTCAGAGATAGTCGCTTGTTTGATTCCATACATGAGGTGTATCTTACAATCCCAAATATTACACTCCTTAAGAAGGGACACTAAACGTAGGTGTCTTAGTCTTACTACTGGTAGTGTAGTACACTGTACTGTACACTGTGAATGAAATCGATGGTTCAAATCAATGCCACATCTTACCACGTCAGTAACTTTAGGAGGTGAATCTAATGCTCCAGAAACTAAGCTTGAAAGACCAAAAAGCATGACAGCTGCAGCGACCAACATGATGATTACTTTTAAAACCAATTTACTTCGCGAATTCAGTTTTGCAGGTTCGGGAAAGAGAACAAAGAATTCTAGAGAAACCTGATACTACACTACCATCTGACATCTGTTTCGAGTTACCTCCTCCTGTGTTTGTTACTGGTGGTGGCTCATCATTGGCAGTGTTTTGCCACTTTTCTTTAACAAAAAACATCCAAAACGGAGTCAAACAAATATCTAAATTTGCGTGGAAAACATCTAGAAAAAACATCCAAATGGAAAAAGTCACAAATTACATAGCAATTGATATGACTTACCGCCCGGCTCTCTAGCGTAGTTGGCTAAACCGGATTGCGCGGAGACCGGGTGACGAACTCCTTTTGGTCCAGGTTCAATCCCGGGGGTAGGCAGGAAAGCCACATTTATCCCAGATTTACAGTATTTACAATGGAATCAAGGCCGAAAGGTTGCGATATCCATAATACCGAGACTAAGGGCTAGCAACTCATAACTTCTGGATACTAAAACAAACAAACAATATGACTTACCCTATAGAACTGTGTCCTCATCTTTACTGAAGTCTGCCTTACAAGATCCACGGGATAAACTTAGCTTGGATGATGAAGTTGAAGCTTCTGATCCAAAATGACTCTGGTTTGCTTTAGCTGTTGCAATTTCTTTCAATACCAAATCAGGGAGCTGATAAGTGGAACAGCCTTTTCCTACTCTTATTAGGCCGAATTTTATTGTTAAGATAGCATTTAAAAGGTCTAATTTCATCCTGTTTCTTAGGTTAGATTTGATAAATTCACTCTAAAGGAAAATATCTAGAAAAACATCTACCATCTAAAAGTAAAAAACGCCATCTAAATGCAAGGGAAAGCATCTAAATCTGGATGTAAAACATCCAAAGTGGCAACACTGATTATTGGCTGGAAGCTGGCAACTCCATAAGTTCGAAGCAACTAGCACCTTTTAAAGACACTTTGTGGTGAGTACTGGCACCATTTTTACTAGGGAAGAAAGCCCTAACAACTAAAATAGGATGTTCATTGTTTGGGATCACATTTGTAATATCAGTCTAGGTAACATTTCTCCCAGATTTACGGTATTTATCAAGACCGAAAGGTTGCGATATCCATAATACCGAGCCTAAGTTTAAACAACTCACGGCTTCTGGATACTAAAAAAAAAAAAAAAGGCTAGGAAATGTCATGACCAATGGCATATTTGACGTCGGTCTTCCTTTAGTAACACTTATTGCATCCAGCCTCCAGTGTCAACATAAAACATATTGTTGCAACATTTCTGGAAAGTACCAACAAATTTTAGCATGGTACTGAGAGCACAGTTTCACTAGGCAAGGGTCAAACACTATCACATTTGTACGAAAACAATCAACTTCGACAGACCTGCACTGAACCATGTTATCGGGTCAAACGAAGGTTTAGGATTCAAACCTTTATAGAGGTGGAAGCCCCCCCCCCCCCATCTGGCCTTCCTCCACAGATGTACCGCTCCATAAAAACTGGCACTCCGCATGTGTGCATCCTCACGGATGTGCCACACCACAGATGTGGCACTCAACAGATGCGCCGATTCACAAATTTGACAATTCACAGAAGCGCTGTTTTACAGATGTGCCACCCACAGATGTGTCACTCTAGAGATGCGACGTTTCACGGATGTGACAATCCAACAAACGCCGTTTCACATATGTGGGATTCCACCTCCCCCCCCCCCCCCCCACCATTCCCAACCTCCCATAAGAGATGTTTGTATTTGTGTAAATGGCGATTAGTAACGACAAGACTGAACTGTTCCCTGCCAGGACTTTTACAGTCGTGTCATTCAGTGTTCATTACACCAGTGTTCCTCGACCTCTTGTTTCACCATCGCAGCCAACCAAATCAGGGGGAATTGTTTCGCGGTCTATCTGACATCTAACTAAACACAGAAACAAAAACAGAAGAGGCAGTTCATTTGTTTAATCCGAAATCATAAAATTGCAGTTTTCACCTGACGCGACATCTTTTGATTCTCACCGTTTAGGTGTTAAACCTACAGACTGCAATCACGGAGGAGAAAACTTGTCTACCCTGATAAGGTAACATTTTTATGACGGCTTACGTCGACTTTGCTATAGCCCACCAATGGGCCACCAGGCCACCAGTCGAAGAACGCTCTATTGCGTGAAATAACCAATTCTAGATACCAAAGATAACTAGAATGACAAGATTGTTAAGGAAAGTCATAACAACAAGCATAAATGCACAGACGCACTTCCTCTTCTCAAAGTCCATGCCCAGTTGCACTGGTAGTCATATATATCCACAGCTTTCTGTCTTATTTACTTACAGTCAGCATTGTGGTGACGACGGTTAATAGTCTAATGCGTCTATTCAACCAGTGATGTACTGGCTGAATCCGATTTATAATTTCCTATGAGCGCTCAGAATCTTCGGTTGGATTCGCAATTTCAAAATGAAGTGGAAGGAAAA